AGAGCCTTATTTTTTATTGTTACTATGGATCAATGTAAACACAAGCCAGAGGAATGCCGAGTCCGATCTGCACTTATTTTTTTTTTTCAAACAGCAGAAGACGTAAGGCCATATCTTACACCAGATAAATAATAAGTTGGAAGACATATAGCGAAGAAAAAATGGCATGGTGCATTACTGAGGAAGTACAGAATATATTTTTTATTGTATTTTAGAGTTTAAAATTTAGCCAGATGAGACGTAATCTGGCACAGAAAATCACACATGTACTGATGCAGTAATAGTCTAGTGTGTGAACTTCATTTTATTATCATCGTGTGCAGGTGTATTCATTTATTCACGATTAAATTCGCAATATTATATTAGATATACTTTAATGTTTCATGTCTTTGAATGAATTTACGTGTATTTTCAAATTTATCACAGAAATTAACCAACCAACCAAAACAAAACAAACAGCTAGGCATATCGATTCAGTACAAAATGTACAAAGACCACGATTCAACAACTTTTAAAACGCATTTTTCTCACTACAATATTAAGAGATATCAAGAAACAAGTAATACTGGTATTGCTGAAGGCAATTTCTTCATCATATATCAGTATCTCAAACGGAAACACGTATTGTCCGAAGAAACTGGTTACAGACTACTAATTTTACCCCTATTTCATTGACCACTCAAGTAGTTCCAGTTTAAAAATAGAGGTTTTTTCTTAAAAATTCTTTGGGGTGTTTATGGAGTAGAAAGCGGTTATTTTTGGGCATTAAGGGAAAGGAGAGGGTCTGAAAAAAATTATAAAAATGATAATAATGGGAAATTTTGCTTTTAAGTGCGTAGTAGGAAGGGTGTAAAGAGGCCCATATTTACCCTTTCCTCGAAGAGAAAGTGAAAAAAGCAGGGTAGGGGTTATTTGCGATGCCATAAAAGGACTTGCAGACTATGAATGTTCCTGAGAACTTGGTAGATTTTTGGACTTGAAATGGTCTTACTATGTGCCAAGTTTCAGGTAAGTTGAGCCGGTGTAATTTTTTAAAATATTTTTTATGTTATAAAGGAATGTATAGCAAAATAATTGGTAGTCTGTGTCCAACTGGATACGATAAATTGTGCAAGTTGCTTCCCTTTGACGCAAAAAGAGGCTCATCACGGGGAATCATTTCCTTAAAAAAGATGTTTTTTCTCTCTATCTTAACTTTTGATTCTCTCCATTATCAGATTTTAAGTTAAATTTCTTAAATATTTCACTCCTTATTTTGCAAGTTTATAAAAAATACCGACGATGGATTATCTATGATTTTTTACTTTAACTTGGCTGGCGAAAATGTATATAAGAAGATGGGCCCGGTTTGTAAAACATAAAGCCTTCGACCTCATTAATATTTTAAACAGTTGTAAACCAAAAAAAAAAAACAAAACTCTAAAGTCAGATGTAAAAAAAAAAAACAAACAAACAATAGTTTAGTGAAAGGTGTTCTTAAATATTCAGCATAATGTTAATTATTTTGAACCCCGTTAAATACCAAACTTTTCTGCAAAAATCATCTTGAGCAGGATTTCACCTGTTCGTGAATAACAGGAATATGGTTTCGTTTTGTACTAAGACTTTCAATTATAACATCAAAACGTTCTCTACATTATAAAATTCTTCTACAATTCTCTTTTTTTAAAGAGAGGGTGGATACCCACAACAGATAACTTAATTATAAATCTCAATTTTTTAATTTGATTTTTTTTTAATTTACAAAATCATAAAACAAATAATAATGAAATGTCTATAATTTTATAAGTGTTGTGTTGGAGTGGGTTAGAAACGGTATAGCAGAATGATGTCGATGCGTACGCCGCGTGCCTTCATGCATATTATTTTTCTCTAAAGCAGAGTTAACTTTTTTGGGGGGGGGGGGGGAGCGTCTTAAGTCAGCATACATGTATATAAAGCTACCTCGCTGGCTAAATATGATATAATTTATTTTAGAATCCTACGCACCCAAGCTGTTATCTAATTCATAGCATTATTTATTCTTTTTTTAATTGGTTTAACTGCATTTCCTAATAAAATATTTATTAAGACATTCTCAATACAGTCTATACGTAATCAATTCTCTTTTTAACATTTAGTTCGTTTGCAGTTAATTGAATTGTAAAAGACAGAAAATGTTCTGGCACATGGTTTTATATCGTAGTTCAACATAGCTTGTGTTTTTCTTTTTCTTTCCCTCAATGCATTTCTTATACACCAGCCAGGTAACAAAGAAATTATAATTTTTGCATTTCTGGAATTCATATTGATATCCCTTTTTTTTCTGCTGATAAAAATATTTTGTAGACATTATGTAAAATATCTTTTTCAAATGCATTAGAATGTTGCGTTGCAAATCAACTATCATCGTCGGAAATCCACGAGTGATCTCGTCTTTACTTATCATCCGGTGCTGAGTAAAGATGAGATCATCCTTGGGTATCCGATGATGATAAACTATATGATATAAAGAACAAATAAAACGAAAAATCATCTATCAAAAATTATGCATGCATACTTATTGAGTCGAGAATTTCATCCAGCCAATGTGTATACAATTATGTTTCCCGTGACTTTCCGCTACATGTAACTATAAATCATTCTTCTAAAATTAGGTGGGGTCTCTCACATACGAATTTAATTAAAAATGTACAAACGATGCATCATTGTTATTTTATCTTACAATGAATTTTAGATTATTTACATCAAATTGATTTTTAAAATA